CCTGGACCCCCGAAATCGCGCGAAGTACGCCGTGAATTCGGCTTTGGGGTTGAATTCCCCGCCCGGCTTCGGCTGGGAGTCGCCGGAGGGTTTTTGGCGGGGGCTTCCATCCTTTCGGCGGGGGGCCCAGGCGGGGCTGCGGCTTCTGAGCAAAGAACTTTCCCTCCACCGCGTGGGGGGGTCGGCGGGGTCGCTTGTGGGGCTTTTCGGCTTCGCTGCGGCGGTGGCCGCGGGGGGGGGCCCCCGGGGGCGGGAAATCCCCGCGAATCCCCCGAAAATCCTCGCGAATTCCCCGAAAACACTCGCGGGGTGTGGCCGTTGCGCGATCGCGCGCTCGGGGCGCTGATGTTTCGGGTTTTCGCGTCCGCCCAGGCGGTCGATCGCCCTGCGATGCGGCCCCAGACCCGCGCCGCCCTCGCCCTGACGGTCGCGGAGCGGTCGATCGCGGCGATCGGCCCGCCGCTTTTCCCTTCCGCAGGGGGGTTTCTGACGTCGTCTTCGCCGACTTTTAGGGCCCACGAATCCTCCGAAGCGGCGATGGCCCCGGGCGGAGGGCCTTCTCGCGGGGATTCCCCCGCGGAAGACGGGGGTGGACGGCCGCCGCCGCTGATTCGCCGCCTGGACGAAGTCTACGCCGCCGTTTTGGCGGCCCTCGCGCCCCCCGAGGCCGCGATGTGGGCGGAGTTGATCGCGGCCGACCCCGACGATTTTCGCCGACGGTTGGGGCTGCTTCGGGGGATGGTGTTGGACCTCGCGGCCCACCCGCCCCGCGCGGGAGCCGTCGTGGACCTGCAGTACGCCTTTCGATGGCTCGTTTTGGGGGAAATCCGGCGGCGGCGGCGGCCCTGGCCGCCGCCGAAACGACCCCCATCGCGGCCTCAACGGCAACGCGAAGCGGCGATTCCCGCGGGGGAAACGCAAAGTGGGCCACAAACGAATGAATGGTGGTGGGGGTTGATGCCGTGGCTCGAGGCCTGCCTGACGTCGGAGCGCGCCGACGCTTTCCCCTCCGCCCCTGCGAGCCGGGCGGGCGATCCAAACGCGGCCGTTCTTTGCCCGTCCTTCGAACAAACATTCCTCCCGGGGGATTTCATCAACGACTCGGCGCATGGCCCGGAGGATTCGCCCGAAGCCGACGATGCCGACCGATTCCGCCGCGCCATGGCGCGGCATATCGTCGTGGATGACTTTGTGTTGTTCCGGCTCTGGTGCTCTGTCCGGCGCACCGCGCGGGATGAGGGGCGATCGCGCCCCCACGCCGGTGAAAAGGGGGATGTATCTTCGCCCGCCAACCCGCCAAGCCATCCCGAACAACTGCGCCGCCTTATTCGGCGGATACTAATTCAGCGCTACCACACCAGTCGGCGAACGCAAGGAGGGGTTGGATTGCTCACGCACGCTACGGTGTTGCAAAGTATCGGAAAGGATTAAAAATGGTTTGGCTATTCTCCTGCTTTTTTTTATGGTTTATCGCATTCTATTTTTTTTTGTTGTTTCATGTGGTGGGAGTATTGAGGGTGACTGTACGAACCCTCAAAGCGAAACCCAGTTTATCGTTTGACGCGCGTTTTGATGCCTATTCGAGATTCCATTGCTTTTGGAATGACCCTTCTTAGTCATCCGCCACACCCATGACTGCGCACTCGTTATTTCTTATGAGGGAAGCGCCTAAATAATGGTATGGTTTGTTTGCTTTTCTTTCCCAATTCTCCCAACCAAAGCCCCTGCAATTTCTAGAAGGATTCACCAATCCCAGGACCTTTTAGTACACGTCGTGTTAGTAGTATACGATATTCCATTATTATAGTATTGTTGTTACAATAGTCTAATCCTAGTAGCAACCTAATCCCACACTCCTAATACGTCCATCTTCATAATCCGTGGCATCGTATTATTATTCTCAGACTGTGAGTACGATTTTAGTATATTATTCTCGTATAGTATTCTCGTATAGTATTCTCGTATATTGTTCCAGTATATTATTCTCGTATATTGTTCCAGTATAGTATTCTATTATATTATTCTCGTATCTTATTCTCGTATTGGATTGCCCATTGAGCCACTTGGCGGCCAACCACCGATCCCTTTCCCTTCTTTCACACCCTTTCCTTTGACAGGGGTGGATGGCGGGCCTCTACACCAGTGCCGCCCTCACGCAGTGGGCGAACGCCATCCTCGGCAGCGCCCACGACGGCCTCGGCGGCTTCGGCCCGCCGGACCTGGCGCTTTTGCTCGACGGCGTCCTGCACGCCTCCCCGGCGGAGGGGGAATCGACTGAGGGGGCCGCCGCCCTTCTTTCGCGCGAGGCCCTGCAGGGGATCGAGTTCCGGCCCGCCCCCGCCGCCCCGGCCCGGCGGCGGAACGCGGCCCACGTCCTGGCGATGGTCCGCCGCGTCGCCGAGGCCCTTTTGCAGGAGTTTTCGGACGATTGTTCGGGGGAGTTTCCCCCGCTGGGGCCGCCTGTTTCGCCGGCGCCGGCGACGGCGGCGGCCTGGGCCGAGGGCCGGGCCGTCGTGGAGGCGATG